CCGCCATCTTATTTTTCCAACATGGCCGCCCATAATAACCCCACAAATCCTTTCATGACTCCCCAAATGAAAGCATTTGAGAAAATTTCCCAACAAGTACCACCAAATCTCTCAGCCGTGGCCCGGTTTGATGCGCTTATGACGCTCAACCAACCGCGAGCTCAAACCAAACATGCTCGGTCTTTGCCTGACCAGCTAGTGAACAAACAACCCCTGCCAAGGTACACCGTGCATGAAAATTTTTCGGCACCTGCCTCTTTGGCCATTGACTCGCCGTCACTGTCGTTTCACGACCACGGCCCACTGCTTCCCTCTCCCACTGGCAGTGAATGTTCCTCGTGGCCGTACAATACACTGGGCGATGGCGAGGGTGAGGCCTCTGGCCAAAGCGTGAGCTCCTGGCCGATTTTGCCGCCGGAGATGCGAGCGCAAATCCAGGACGAAATTGAAGCGCAGGCTCGGCAGTATGCGTTGCGCGCAAATCAGGCCGCCCATAAGGAAACACTCAGGTGGCGTGAAGTGGCCGAGTGACGCACGGTTGAGCTGCGCCGTGAGCGCGAGCAGAACGAGCAGCGAACGCTGCAGTCCTGTGTGGCTCCGGTGCATGGCCCGCCGTCGCACGGCTCTCCGCCGCCAGGTGCAGTCAAAACTTCCCAGAAGCAATACTACCCTGTTGAGTCTGACCATGGAGGATATGCGTACTACCCTCAGCAGCATGCTCTCCCTCCACACAATACAGTCCCACAGCAGGGCTACCACCCATACCAATACATGCCTATGCCACCTCCGGGAGGCGGTTTCCCATTCCCGCCACCAACAGCGGCGTTTGCACCCCCAACTGCCGGTCAGGCACCGCGGCTCGGTCACCCACCATACCACCCGCAAATGACGGCAGCGGTTGCCGGTGGCATGCATCACCAGGCCCCGCCGTTTTTGCTTGGGGGGCAACCGATGAACGATCCTGCGGCTCTGCCTGCACCAATGACCGTTCCACAGAACATGCCCAAGTGGTTCACTCAAGGCCTCCAACCACCCTTCTTCACCGGCATTCAGAGTAAAATTTCCCCAATGGATTTTTTGACTCAATTTGAAACATACGCCTCATACATGCATCCAATGCACATTGATGAGACTTGCCGTGTGAGCATGCGCCTGCTCCTCAAGGAGGATGCTGCGTTGTGGTTCCGCACCTTTGAGGCCTATTCTCCACCCACTTACACCTACCAACAGTTTATTGACGAGTTCAGGAAACACTTCCTTCCTCCCTCGTACAAAGACAAGTTGCGCCGCTTTATCCACACGCGAGTGCAAAACCCCTCTGAGACCCTAGCCCAGTTTGTGAACGTGATGGCTGAGACCTATCGCCGTCTTGGTGAATCAATTCCCGAGACCGAGAAAATCCGCCAAATCATCTCGCACGTACACCCATCCTATGTGCCGGTGGTGGCTTACCGTCAGTTCACAACACTGTTCGAGCTTCTCTCGGAGGCCACAGCCATTGATGATCAGGTTGACCTGCAAAAGCAGTACAAACCTTTCACGGGCGAGGTACCTGACGCGGCGCTGTTTGTGCCCTCGGTTCCCAGAGCCTCGACCCTCTATCAGACCAACCCCGACTCACTGACACCCGCAGCCCATGCTCCCGCGCCGAGAGTGGCTGCCCCGCAGGGAGGAACACCTTACCAGTTCCCCCGGCAGGTGCTGCAGCCCCCGGCCGCGCCCCGGCTGCCCGCACCAAACCTGCCCGTGTCGGCTCAGCCCACTCCGGCTGCCAAAACACCATTGGGAGCCAACACGTGCTTTCACTGCAGGCAGTCAGGTCATTTCAAAGCTGAGTGTCCTCTCCTTGCGGTTCCAAAAAACGCGTGAGCGGCCCAGTCTCGGCGTTCCCCCGCCGATCTCTGGGCCAGCCTACGGATGTTACCCGCTCGACTGCAGTGAACACATTGGAGTACCCGTTCTGGTATCCTGCACTGCCGTCAAATGACAAAATATTCCAGCCTCAGCTCGAAGAACTCCAACCCGAGGACAAAATTGACCCAGCATATCTGGAGGTTTCTGAGGAAAACAATTTTGACCCGGCGTCTTTTGACCCTGCGGCGTACGAAATTGACCCCGCGGCTCTTGATCCAGCAGAGTCCGAGATTGACCCGGCGTTCTTTGAGTCCCATAATCTCGAGCCTGACCCAATACCCCTGGTACCCGAGGAGTACTCTCTCGCAATCATGGGTAACCGAATAAAGCCCCCTGATAACCCACTGTCACAATATCATGCATTGATGACAAGTTTTGCCGCTCACCCAGGCATGGTTGTTCAGATCAAAGGGAAGAGCTTTTTAGCCCTCCTTGATTCGGGAGCTGACCTGAGCGTTGTCTCAAAAGACATCGTTGAGTCTCTTGCCCGGCCAGTTCAGAAGTCGAACATTTCCAAAGTCTTCAGTGTCACAGGCGTCTCCATGGCTGTTGGAGATTGTGCAGTGACTATGAACGTACAGGATTCACTGGTGATGGTCAATCTGGTTGTCCTTGACACTCCCAAGCCTTGTCTCATCCTGGGCAGAGATTTTTTGACTCAAACAGACACAATTCTGTACTTTGATCGCCACGGTTGGTCCTCTCCTCTGTCAAAGGACTCAGTTGTACCCTTTGTACCCATTCCAATCCCACCTCCAGTACAGCCGGAGTATACACCCTACATACAACTGGTGCCGGCTGGAATAGGTTCCACCTACCCTACACCCATGGCGGCAGTTGCAGCGTTAACTGCCGGTGTTTCATCACAGCCCGTGCTTACCCCACCACAATCTTTGCCAATGGCAGTTGTGCCTGCAACTGCCGGTGTCACGCTCCAACCCGTGGCACTGCAGCGATGCAAACCAACCCTGCATATGGCAGTTGTTCCTGCAAGTGCCGACCCTACTCTAAAGCCCGTGCGAACGGTTGTGGCCCAGGGGGTTGCCGGTGAGTGGCAACAAGCCGCTCCCCGAATACTGACTGTGCCTGCAACCATGAGTACCTCCCCTGAACAGTGTCGGAGTGCCTCTTTCAGCCAGTCTGATACCGACATTGATGAAATTGCCACCCCTGTCCTGCCCATCTCTCAAGTTGAGGACTATCTTGTTCCTCCTTGCCTTGACTATGAAAAGATCACCCTACCTTTGTGCATTTCCACTGATGTGACGTTGCCTGACACAGTCCCTGAACCCGATGGTGACCTTGACCTCCATAGGCTCTTTCAAGAACCATTGGAAAATACCCAGCCCGAAGTCATAGACACTTTGTCTGGTGACTGGAACCACACCTGGCAATGGTCTACTCCATCTCTCTGGAGTTTGAAAGTGCAGACCCCTACTCCAGCTCCCAATGTTTTACTCTGGCCTGAACAGGCAGAGTTGCCATCACACTTACCACAGGCCCTAGATCCTTCGCCATTCGCTTTGTGCACTGGCTTCCCAGTAGCCTATGACCAGCCCTGTGACAGGATGACACCTGAACGTGACAAGACGCCAATAGGTGATGTTGAGCTACCTGAGCAGAGGCCTCCACTCATCTCTGCTGGCATCAGACCATACTGGGTGCTGAAAGACGTGGCCTTTGAAGAACCAAGAACGGCCAGGTTGCGTAAGCCACCTGACAAGCGCTATAGCTGGTGTGACCCAACCCTGATTCCACCTGAGAAGCCGCCAGATGTGCTCTCTGCGCTCTCTTTGAATCATTCCCAGTTGAAAGAATATCATTCTGATGTTCATCCCGAACAACACCCAGCTTGCAGGCTCGCTCTTGCAATGTTTCCTTAAGTTTTTGTCAAGTGTCTTTGCAAGACATGTGACGAAAACTTGGGGGGCATATCACAGCAGCCAGTCTGATTGACCTGTCCTTGCCCGCCTGCCCAAGTGTCCCGCCCGCCAATTTTAAATTCAAAACCAAAAAAGTTAAATTCAAGTTGAGAATACTGCACCGCAGCGCACGAGATATGACTTTTTTCTTCCGCTGCTCCAAGCAAGACTTTTTCTGCCCCTCTGATTGGCCGAAATTTGATCCGCGCTCCTGATTGGTTCCGCTCGCCGAAAACGAACAGGCGATCGAGAACCGACGCTAGACTTTTTGAAAAGTCAGTTGGAAATCGGTGGTCAGCGAGTACGGACGTATTTCGTGAGCCGACAGACTCAAAGGTGCGAGATAATTGCTGGGATGCACACTGAGGGCTGGTGAAGGCCCGGTTAAGTGCCCAGTTAATTATTGGTATGTACCAGGTTGCTCCGCGTCACCGGCTGGCTTGCTGTGTGTGACGGTTGCCCTTATTTTTGCCCTTGTAGTTAGAATTGCTCCTGTAGTTGAAATTCCTTTTGGTTGAATTAAGGACGTGAATCCGCGACTCCGCCAGAGCGTAGAGGACGCGAAGTTTTCCGTCATTTTTGATAAAAATAAATTGTCTTTTGCCCATTAACTTGAAATTACCCCTCGGCGTTGCCACGAGGCGTCAGCCATATTTGTTCCCCAACATTGCATTTTTCCCTTAAATAATTTTCCCTAGACAACCGACCCCCTGAGAATAGCGATTTGTATCGCGGCGTTAAATAAATTGTAGAATAAATTGCTGTGTATAATTAATTGAGAAATTTGAAATAAAATAATTTGTAATATTGTAAATGTAACTTGAGGTGATTTCATTGCCTCCGGCATTTTACCCATCTTTTGTCGTTGTGAGTTAGAAAAAATAATTACACGCGACATTCTGTTTGCTTTAAAAATATGTTTGAATGTTTAGAAATGATTTGCATCAGTGTTAAATTTATAATTCAAATTAAAATCTCTCAGCGTGAAAGATATGAAGTTAAAATTATAAATTGTATACAGATGCGAATTATTTCAAAACACCGACATATTTTCAAAAATAACAGAAATAAAAATATTTCAAAGTAAAACATGATAACAATTTTATAGTTCTCAAAAGTACTTAGCAAAATAGGTCGCACTCAAATTTTTAAAATTGACATAAATTTTCATTTTTACAAAGTAATTCTTTATTAAATAATTAAAATTAGGTCATAATAATACATAGCAAACACTTAATTTATATAAGTCCATGAAATTTCTGGCTGTCCAGCGTCCACAGCAAATATTGTCCAGCATCTCGAAGTTATATGGGTGCCCTCTTCGGCTCTGTTGAGATTTGATGGACCTGCGTTGAAATTGAAATAATTAGTCAAATGGATCTCATTTCCGTAAAGGATTTGAGGTTAAAATAGAATGAAAAATTGCGTGCATGGAAATAAGAATAAGTTAACTGAGAAAATAGATCTAACTCTGCTGTTTATGCAAGCCCAATGGCATGTAAATTTGACCGAGATAGTATATTTTATTATTTATTATTAATTATTTACATACAAAAAAATATTTCAATCATTTAGGCAAACTGTCTTATATTTTCTATTAAATATTAAAATAAAAACTCGCAAATTGAAATATGCTGTTTAAGATAAATATAAATATCTAAAGACAAAATTTAATTAATTTTTGTTAGCCTCCGAGAGCAGACCTATTCTCTTTTAAGAATTATCATGCCAGAAAAAGAATTAAACGATTGAATTTAGGTTCAGAGTGAAGACGGAATTAATGCAGCAATTAATCGACTTACCAGTTCACACAACGAGGCTCAATTGGGAAAAAATCACAGAAAGCTTCGCAATTGATCCAGCACTTCATCCGCCATCATCCACTTTTGCTCTAAACTGACAAAACGTGGTCGCAGACAAATGCACATCTAGAGATGCGCTTACCCTGACGCTGCTTTTTTCCCTGAGCGCGAGGGGAGACAATATTTGAAAGTTGGACGTAACCTGAAATTTTCCTGTAGTTCTACAGGCTAAGCGCGTGGTATAAATTCACTCCTCTCTGGAGCGTCACTTAACATGAAATCACTTGTAATTGCGATCGGTTACAGGCAAATTCCCTGGTATACTCCAAAATTTTTGTATCAGTGTAATAAGGCGCGACATTTTAAATACCCGCAAAAGGAGAAGAGATCTTTCTGAATAAAAATTAGCTTTATACACAAAAGCTTCACTGCTTGATGGACATGTGCAAGTGCAAATGTTCATTATTGGATAAAAATTACTATAATTGGTTTTTTTTTCAAATTGATTATTATTTGAAATTTTTTAAATCTTCGTTTGATTTGAGTAGTAGCACGAAACACTAAAATAAAACTATGTACTATAATATTTAATTTAGTCTTCCTGCATTTGCATAGTAAAAACGACATTAATCCGCCGCAGTGAGTCTCAGTTGCCTATTAAGTTTTTATTCTTTTGATTTTTTTTAATAACATCAATTATTGCTTCGTGATGTTAAAAAAATCTCTTAATTTATTATTCAGAATCAAATATTTCTAATGCTTTTTATCAACAATTTAATGTGACATTTAAATTTATTCAATCTGAGCAATCGCTCTGTTAATCAGAGGCGTAGAATTATAATTATCCACAGCAATCACCGTGTTTGTTTCGAGCTCACGCCACATTATATCTGTGCTCGCTTGACCAATATGCCAGCATGCGCATTTAAATAATAAACACACAGAATATTTTAATCCACGAGTTTTAAGGGTCAGTGGTTCAGAGAACTGACGTCCTCCAGGTGCACGCGAGTGTGTGTATGTTTTACCTGGGCGAGCATAAGTCCTTTCGGTGCGGTACTGCTTTTCCAAACGCGTTTTTACACACATGACTGGGCGCCAATGTGCTAAGTGCGCACTTCCAGAGACCTGTGGGTGTTGAATAATCAGCAAGCTGCCGGACCAGTGGTCCAAAAACAAGCAGGGGTAAAAAGCTGCTGCCTTTTTGATGGTTTTTGCCGTCATTTTAATTTCCCCAACAGGCACCTGGCGTTGATTTTATATACGGAAAAAAATGCACCTTTAATTTTTATTTTCGATTTACTGTGATAAGTCGTCAGAGGGGAATTGTTTGGAATAATTGCCTCTATTTTATTGTTTGTCTGTATTACATAAAATTAGCCACATTTCTCTACGTTTTGTTTGAAATGTTTCTCAAGAGTCCTCTTTGGCTAATAATTAAAAATTGTCATTACAATGAAGATTCCGCTGTACTGCAATGGCACGCCACTTCATAATTAGCACTTTGAACTAATTCATATAATTTGAAGTGTCCTCTTTAGCTGCTGTTCCAAAATGCATGAGAAAGTACATTCAAAGGGGGCTAATAAAACAATATGATGAAATTGCAGGCATGTGACACAACTTTCCCGCGCCAAACCACAAAAGGGGTGACATTATTCCGCATGTTGCTGCGTTACAGGGTTGAGATAATTCTCATGCGGCCACTTAATTAGATTTTAATGATACCGTGGCCGATGGAGGGTGATAGTGCATATCCACGAGGGAAAAATGCGGAATTGCATTGCATGATCCGGCGTATTAATAAATATAAAATTGTAGATTTTGTCACTTTAAAGTTGCGTACTACACAAATGGGGACCTGCGTATATTTTGGTTGTTTAGCCGGATGTATAGGCCCACATTTTGGAGCACGCCAAGCATCTGAAAATGCAGTAGCACTTGGCGGAAGTAATGCAGGTGGAGTTCGTAAAGGGGTTTCCTATAATTACCCCGCGAGGGCAGGTGGAGTAATTATTACAAATTCTAACACACCTAAGGCAGGCGCATAGATCGAGAGTTAAGAAAGAGAATGACTTTCGGGGCACGTGTGGCTTCCAGCATTCACCTATTAGTTGACGGCCGCGAAGTCTACAATGGGCTCAAATTTACGCTCTTTTGACAGAATTCATTTTCTATTCTTTTCGTCCTCCATATGCCTGTTTGAATAAATTACTTAACTTCTTCTAAGCATCTGGATTAAATTACAGAACTTATACACAGCTTATTTATTGCTTATTGTTCAGTTCAGATGATAATATTAAAATAATTTAATTTATTATACTTTTTTATTTAACAAATTTGAAACCATTTGTACATGCTTTTTTCGGTGCTATATATTATCTATCTTTATTTTTTTTCGAACAAGTTAGTGATTTTAAGTTTAAACAACAATTGTATTTTTAGTATTTATTTATCAATTTCTAAAAATTTATAATTAGGTTTTTCTCATTGTTTTTTACTCTATGCAACAAATGTAAAATAATTTATTTAGAAAAACCCCAACAAGGAACTGATTAAAATTTTTAAAAAGTAATTATTTTATTAAATGAGACAAAATGAAATATTTTTTATTGGTTTTTATTTTTATTTCGATGCACACTTAAACTGGTGACAGACGACTTCAAAATGATAAATACAATGCAATGACAACTAAACAAAGACATGTGTGTTACAAATAAATTAGCTAATAACTTAACGTCTATTAAGGGTACCGCTAATTTAGCACCACAATGTCCAGTTGCTGTGTGTATTTCTTCTTCTCGGATGGTGCCAAATACAAACACAATTGAACGAAAGTGAGCTGAATGCTGAGGGATTACAAAAGTGTGATTTTTCTCTTCGTAAGTGACATTTTTCAACATTTCATTAATTGAGAGTTTCAAGCGTGTGTTGCAGGTTTGGTAACATGTCCATCAATCTAAATGAATAACAGAGAGCTGATGATAGGGAAAGAAGAAGTTGCTGAGGGGACTAGAAACGTTCAAAAATTACATCAAAGATTTACAAAAAGGCACTTTTATATATGTACTGACCTTTTAAAATTACAACATTTTTTGTATGTTTTATTTTTACAGTTTAACATGCTTTGCGTTCAAATGACGAGTTCGCGCAGTTAACGTTATTTATATAAAAGGTTCACATTTCACAATGATCAAAAAGTTCATCACAGATTTCGAGCGAACTCCACGCTTCATCGGCAGTGCTGCTACAAAAATAAATTACAGTTTTTATATAACCTTAAAACTATTTTAAAAATTACAATATAGTTTCAGTTTTTTTTGCAAAGTTTTCATATTTTCTTCAAACACGCCTCTTACCACTTTCTCGGTTTGTTTCAAAACAAAACTGGCAAATTTGTACGTTGCAATTTTATCACACAGAACGCCTTTTCTAAAAGTGTGTTTTTTTGTTAAAATACCGCAAAAACTAGTTTTAAAAGTGGAAATCAGCTTACAAAAATAAAATCCAACTTACGCACTAAATGTTTTACACATTCTCCTGTTGAACACATTTTTCTCTGGGCCGCCGCTCTTCATGCTAGTAGAAGTTTTTTTTTTAAATTTTCCAAACGTATTGAAAAATTAAAAGTAAAAAAAAAATCAAGCACTAAAAATTCTCCACGAACTGAAAATGTTTGTCGGCGCTGTTGAGATCAGAGAGTCATTTTTTTCATAGTCTATTTTCTTTTTCTCAATTGAATCAAGGCACTTTTCTTATTTCAGACGGATCAAGCGGCTTTGGAGCATCAGTCAAAGTAGATGTCCTGTATGTCGGTGGGCGTTGCCGGCTTCGAAGCCTCAGCGTCGGCACTGTCGTCGATGATGATGTCCAAAGCCGTGTTAGAGTTTCCCGAGCTGGCCATGTGCTTCTGGTGCTGCTGGGTCACCTGCGGCTGCACGCCGGCCGCCCGCTGGTGTTCCCGCACGTTGGCCTCGACTCGCTCCGCCACGTACAGGACCTCGTGCGTCTCCGTTTTGGCCAGGTGACACACGTGGGCCAGCACTTTGTCTTTGGAAGGGATGTTGAGGCCTCTGGCGGCGGCCACCAATGCGCCACAGGCCACGGCTGACGGTCTAAGTTTGATCAGTTCTGGGTCTGAAACAAAGCAATAAAAACTTTTTAATCAAATATTCACGACAATTTTAAATTTTTTCTCTATCACGTAATTTACAAATAAATTAGGGCACACGCGGCTTTGGAAATCAAGTGAGCGCAGCAGTTGCTGCAATTAAGCGCGTGTATATTTTCCTAGATCGAGAGCAGCGTGAGACCTTTAAACGCGGCAGATGTTTTGCGGCACAACTTCTTTCTCTGTGAGTACATTTATCTCGTAGTAGTATTTTTTATGAGTTTCTCACTCGCCGCGATATGCAGCTTGCGTCTCTCTTACTTTCTTGGGCCACCTGCATTTCCCTCTTGTAGTAAGTTCACAATTCACAACCAGGGCCTTTAAAAATGGCCGCATCAGGTCACGTGTGTGTCTGCGACCTCACCTGGCTTTTTTTTTGTCCTGCAGCAGAAGTGGTGCGTCAGGAGTAGAGAAAGATAAGAAAAAGTTCCGTAATATTCTTGATCTGCACGCGCGCAGGTGACTTTTGGCTAAATTAGGCCAAAAGAGTGCAAAAGCAGCCGCTCATCAATTCCACGTTAATCATTCGCCTTGATATTAATTTAATATGAAAATAAATTGTGAAAAGATAAGATCGTCGTGAAAAGCTGCCTGAGAAATTGGGGGAATGCGACGAGTTTCTTTTTCTCACGTGGCACTTCTTCTATGACCAAAGTCTTGTTGTGGGAATGAAAGGGTTGAAATCGAAACTCGCGCGCGAGGGACTTTCACCCGCCGACGACAATGAGAGGATGCAGATTTGAATTAAAAGCGAGAGAGACAGACACTCTCGGCGGCTTCCTGTTTTCGCTTGCAGTGAATAAGAAACCTGAGCGTTTACGCCTACCACATTCGGCTGCCTCTTTTTTGCGCCCCATTGCATTTGAGAATATATTTAAGCGAAGGGGTTTTTGGCTTGAATTCTAATGAACGCATCCTGTTAAGAATGAATGATAATAATTGCACGCCGACTGCTTAATATCTCCGATCGCACGGGCATCCTCCATTCAAATGAAAACGCACCTTCGATGCATAAATGCACACACATACACTTCCGTGCACATCATCCGAAGGCCATCTCTCGGCTCTCTGAAATTTGATTTATAGCTGGTTTTGCGGCTGGACCGCCGAAAGGGTTGATGTTGTGTATTTTTTGTTCTCTTTTGGAAATATTGTCCCTGCGCAATAAATAACGCGAGCGGCATGAATAAATAATAACAAGTCTGTGTATGTATTTGAACTCCCCGCTTTCGTTTATATGAAAAAGCACGTGACATTCGGAATTGTCAACTAGATTATAATTAGCGGTTCGGTTAGTTGCTGCTGCATCACCTGGCGTTACATATGCAACGTGATTAGCATACAGGTGAGATGAGCGGCCGAGGGGTGGTTTTCGGGGGGATGTCGCCGGACCAGTCCTTCCGCGCGCGAGCATCGCCTTTCAATGACGCAGTAAAAGCAACTCGCTGGCCCCCCGTCGCTGGATCCGCCTCCAATAACTCTTGTTTATCGCCGGAATAATGATACACATTCGTGAACACGCCAAAAAAGCACAGATTCAAACGTATACGTCGGATTAAATTACTTTCATCTGCAATGTGTACAAGGGGTGTGTGCTGAATAAATTCGCTCTCGATCCGATTCTTGTTCCTGCGGACGGCAGCTGATGCGAGCTCTTGTCTTTTTTAATCTCTCGAACAATGCAGCAACTCGCGGATGACGTAATAATGGAGAGATTTAAACCCTCGCCCCGCGGAATACTTTTTCCTACTTTTTAAATAACAAAACAAACCTGCCCTCATCCCTTTAGGGACGCCCCATCACTCGGCAGTGAAAACGCGACTCGCTCTTTTTTTACCAAAATGCAGCTGAATAAATTGCACATGGAGTGATTCTTATCTCGGCCAAAGCTTGGCGTGCCTGCGTGCAACCCTATATCGCAATCAAACTAGTTAATATTCGATAAGTTTGAAAAATTTACGCCACCGGGATTGCATTTTGGAAAACGAAACCCCGCGGTATATTGAAGTATTATATTGTCAGAGATCAAATTCATCTAGCTGAGCACTTGAAGTGCTTTTTCAGCACGGGGGGCTCGGCATAAAAATGTGCTCGGCCGCGCACATTTTTTAATAAGCACAAGCATTCTCGAGGCAAATGCAGCTGTTTGTCGGATAATTCGACGCACAATGCTGCTGCACTTAAAGTACACGCACGCAGCGTGCTCTAATTCCAGCACAAAGCTTTGAGTGGCCCCGGTAAATAATTAGAGAAACACTGTACGGTCCTCTCGAGTGCAGCCACCAAAGTGGTGTGTGTCGCCCATACTTGTGCCGCGCGCGATGTATCATTAATAATTCGGCTTATCTTTCACCTGGACCTACACGCAGCTACTAAAAAAATAACCTGCCTCTCTATTCTGACGACGCATCTGGAAATTCACTTCCGCCGCTAATTGAACCGGCTTTTACTTTTTTCCGCGCAAAACTGGCGAAAGTCAGCGCGGATATGATGGATGGATTTGATCGTTATTTGTTCCTTTCTTTAATATAGGTGAGGTGCTTCATGAATAGCAAATGAAAGGCATGCATAATACTCCCTCGGCCCACATAGCCAAGGTCAAAACGGGCACGTCTCGGCAAAAAATTGAACCAGTATTACATGCCCCCTTGGTTGCCGAGCGCGATATTAATTAATTTGTCACACTGACAGTCCGTCTGCGCGAGAGGGCGTTTTGGGGAAAAGTCAAAAGGTGCTGGTGGAAAACCGGGCCAAGTCAATTTTGTTCATTTTTACGCAACGGGCACGCACCTGGGGGAGGCGACACACCGTTTTAATGTGAACAAAATAGAAAACGGCAGATGATCTGCAAGGAGGAAGCAGCAGACGTCGTTTGCGCTCGATCCACCCCGCAGGCACATTTGTATTAGAAAAGAAGCAACACGTGGTGGATAAATGTGAAGAGAAAAAAAATATTAAACTGAAGCGTGTACAAAGCGGAAGGCATTTGGATTCGCGCAGACGGAGTTTTCTCCAGCGCACAATAGATTTAAAAGGCTCTGTGCGGGATTTAAAGGGAAGATGTATGGCTGCAGCTATGATGCGATATAAAATTGCCAAGATGCACGTGTGAGCTCAATCGCTGATATATGGCTGCGGCTATTGTTACCGAAAAATAGGCCATATATATATTGTGCCTTAAAATAGCTTTGAAGATATAGTCAAAATTTATGTCTTCCTCCCAAGCAGAAATTTTTATAATGCTCCTGCAAAATGTATTAATACAATTTCCACCCCTTTTGTGCGAAACCTCCACGCAAGTCGTGGTTGGGTGACTTGAACGCATGCAGTTCAGTAGCTTCGGACAAATGAGTTTCTCAAATTGTACTACAAATGACATGGTGATGAGGGGTCATTAAAGAAAGCGGCGTTATGTATGGAGGAAGACACACCCCCACACCTGCTGCCTCCGACTTTCCTGTCCAACTTGGCTCTCCCATATATTAAGGGCAAATTATGCACGATCCTCCAGATGTTGAACTCATGTGAGAATTCACCTGCACGCATCGCTGGGGCTGAAAAGTCAGGATAGCCTCCGCTGCTGCTGGAACATCCCCCGCGTACATAAAGTCAAGCAAGAGCGAGCGGATGGACGTGCGGATAGAGAGAAACAAAAACAGTCTCACGCTCTGTCCATCATGACTTTGCTGGAAATTATTGCGCCGCAGGTGCCCTCCCTGTGTGTGGTGGCATACATATTACATCAGCATGGGAATGTGTCGCCCATCAGCAAAACTTCCTTTTTCCCATAATTTGGCGTTTTTAGAAAATTATATTCCATTTCGGATATTTCGGAAGTGCATTATCTCGGAACCCGGTCCTGCCCTAATGCGTCGCCCTTTGCGGTGCAGCTGCACTTTTTTTCATTCTTTTTCTTGGCACAAAAGTCTCAAGACGGGACAAAAGACGTCGCGCGTGCCACGTGCGTTTGTGGGCGCACTCGGTTTTTGTATAATCGAAGACGTCGGCAATTCAGTGAGAGTGATCTCGTTGCAGCACGCTTGCTCAAGTCAAATAAAAATCCCCCTTGCCGCCGCTGGCTTTTGTTAATATGCACTCTCGCACTTCCTTGCGGGCCAGCTGTGCCCTGCCTTAAATATAAAAACTACCCCAAGGAGAATGTATAATAATTTTATAGGAGTAGCGGCAGATGACGCAACTGCATCTGTCCTCAATGCCACACCTTGATCAAAAAGAAGACGTTGGATTGTCGTTCGTTATCCCCCTTTGATAGTAACGCACAAACACAAAGCTGCTGCGCCGCTGCCAACTTTTTATTCGGCGTCTGGAGCAGTTCCCGTTTGAGACTGGGGTGCCTTCTGAAAACACAAAGGAAAGATTCGCCAGGGTGGAAGAAAGCTAGGGGCTGACGGTTTGCCCCCGGAAAGGTGGAACTTCCTTGTCCGACGCGAGAGCAGATGTCTTTCTCTCTATTTCTTTCATCCAGGCCGGAATTAAAACTTGGGGGCACGAGCCACGTCTTGGAGAGCGGCGTTTACAAGTCTATTGTTTCGGCTCACGCGAGCTATAATGAAGGAAAGTGTCGAGAGGTGTAATTAGGAATTGAGACGGGAAACACAGCGCACACCTCAAGTCGAGACTTCCGATCCGACTTTTTAACGCTGGACTCGTAGAAAAAGAGAGCCCTTTGTTAGCGGGTTTATTTGCAGGCGAGGCGATATATATAAATTTCTACACAAGTGGGATAGAGATAACATTAGAAATATTCTGCGAGCATCTGCTGCAGTATAAATTCGGCAATAAATGGCACAAGATAAAAACGGGTGACATTGATATGATGCAGCTGAGTGATAAATGACAGCGCGTGCGTGCCTATTTATAGAGATGAGAGATGATTGATGCCAATTTCCCTACATCGATTTTTCCACCGATTGCCTCCATGAATAAAAGCGAAGAACGAGCGCAT